TGCTTTAAAAAATTACATAAATGTACCAAAGTCTGGCTTTTACTGTTAGTTATTTTCCCTCTGTGGTTGTGGTCTTCCTACTCAGGAGCATCTTTGTTTCCTGTGTTGGCTTCTGTCTAGAGCTGGTAGGTGCTTACGTGTTTTCCAGATCATTAATTTCTCCACAGCTTTGATTTACCTTTCACTTTACTGTTCAGTTCTATCTTGTCCCATCTTCCCTACACATCCTAAAAAGATCCCAAATATGGATTAAATCTGAAGGAATTTCTCATTCATTTCAGTTTTGAACTGCTGACATAAAGTCATAATTTGCCATTATCTATCAACCCAGAATCATCACTATTTCTCTGGTTCTGTCCTTTGTTACTACTTTTGACACGAACCAGAATTAGTAATAATGACTCTCTAACTCACCGGTCAGCTAGCTATCTCCTATTTAAGAAGCAAGAATCATCAGATCAGGCAGAAGAAACCTGAGGTGTGGTCTGCACGCTGTATTAATTTCATTTCTCCTTGTTTGTCAGAGTTTTTAATAAAACCACTTTTTATCCTTAGCATCTAGGCCATAACTATTTACTTGAGTTCAGCGAAACATTTACTTATCAGAGAATTAAACAGGTTAAGCCAGCGGGAATATTTCCCAAATAAGGAATTCAGATATCAGCCCTAAGCTAGGAAGGCAAAAGTCTCCTGAGACTTTGTTTTCTCACCTCCTGTCCATTTAATCTGTTATTCCCATGCTTTCACATATTTGATGGCTGCTTGACAATTTTATTGTATGTTGTACTGTCCCTCAGTGATCACACCTCCCTCTCTCTCATTTCCTATCCGTGGTAACACAGCTCACATCTGATACTCATCTCCACCACTAAGGGTTCTATTGTCCCCTTGATATGTACGTGTAACTCCCACTGCTGTCAATAGGAATTACATGTGTGCATCAAGGAGAGAAAAATCCCTTGTGTACTCTCCGCTCCTCATTATCTTGGCACAGTCAGTTCTGTAGATGTCTCATCTATGAGCCTTTTATTCTCTTGAGTGTTGTGCAGTACAGCAAGTTGGCTCTTAGGATCAGCAGTTTTGCTCTTGAGGTGTTTAGCGAGTTGATTTACTGTGCATGTGTATGCTCTTAAATGTCTTCATCCAGCCAAATCCACATCTTGTAGCATTCATATGTTAGACAGTAGAGCTTCTTATTTCCTTTTTATGCAAGAATACCAATTCATAACCAGTCTCCCAGCAGACCCAAAGTGAAGTGAGAGTCTGAAGCTAACCCTCCCGAATGGCATATGTTCAGGCCCAGCTCAGACCTGTATGCTTAAATGCAATAGTTTGTGAAAAATGCAATAGGTACGAGATTTTAATGGCATATTTTAATTTTCCTTAAAGATCTGAAGGAAGATATTTTATAAGCACTTCATGTTAAGTGCTTCTAAACAAGGAGGTAGATGAACAAGTAGCTAATCAGTTAGCAAAACTTTAATTCCTTCCAAAATTAATGGGAGCGTCAAGAGTTGAAGGAAAATGGTAAAGTGAAAACAACCACACATGTAAACCAGTGATTTCCACTGTCTGAACACTGGATTTGTATTCTCCTTTGATACTTCTGGAAAACACCTCTTTGTGGGAAGGTACCGGGTGTCTCACATAGGCCAGTGTTACTAGAAACATAACTGGCAAGCATACTCACTCCACTTGCAGGCTTCAGGAACCCAAGTACAGAGTCAGTTACCACAGCTTAGAAAAGAGGGATGGCAAACTAGTTGGGGAAAAAAAATCAATTTGCCATCAGATTAGAAATCAACTGTAAACATGTTGAAGAATTCTATTTTTTTTCACTACTGCTCTGCCTTTTCTTCACAATCTGTCGTGGTGTCAGACTTATTTTGACAATACTTGTAGAACTTGTCATATTAACAAAGTTATCAAACAGAGCGAGCACACGCATAGCAACAGCTGTAGTCCAGCAGAGTCAAAATAACTGGCCACAGGTATTCACAAGGAAATATCCATGCTGTAGTGGCACAAATCAAAAATATCCCCAGAAGTCTCCAGAGCACTTGTAGTTTTATTTAAATAGCAACAACCGCAGCTGCCCTTCAACCTGGAACAATCTACTCCAAACTTTGAAATTTAGGATAAAAATAAAAGGAACAAATTTAGATTTTATATATATACATATTAGGATTTATTTTTGCTATGGTAATGTCACTTGATGGATTACTTCTGTCTTTGTGAAAGTGCTTCATAAAAAGGGGTATACACTAAATTCAATACAATGATGGGATTTATTTGCTGTTATATAACAAACTCAGAAATACTTGTTTAAAAACAAAATAAACCCCATAATCCACTAAGACCGTAAATTGGTGGGGCAGGAACAATCTTTTCATTATTTGTGTCTACAGAGCTTAATACAATGAGGTCTCAGTTCTTCGCTAACATCTCTAGGTGTTAACACAATGCTATTAAATCTACTCAATAGCAAAAGATGCAGTCAGTGGATTTATGTGTCTCATTCCTTTGGAGATGTGTGAATCTAACAGAATAGTTTAATGGCCAGATTCTTCAGCTGCGATGTCTGATTTTGCACGTACATCAGATAGTATGCATCTATTTATGCAAATCATTCTTGGATTTATATGCTCAAAATATACCTGCCTGAGAACTCCTATTTGTGGCGTTGAGCTGCATTCAGAAAGGAAGAAGATCATATTTGGATGCCAGGGTCACGCTGTAGGAAAATAGCAGGAGCCATACTTAGCGCTCGAAACTGCTGCTTTCCATTTTCAGTTTTCTGTGAAAACAAAACTGACTTAAGTTTCATTTTTCTGGTCCTGCTTTGATCTGCCTTTATTTTTACACCAGAAAACGTCTAGTTTAGCGGAGTTAGCTTTACCTGCTACTGACGTGAACGTGGGCTAGGCCTGACATGCCCATTTTCCTCTGAGAAAAGAAGGGCCAGGCTCAGACTGGCTCACCCATACGGCCAAGAGCTAGTTCAGGCAACCACCCATTTTTCCACCCGATCCTGAGACTGCCGTTCACCCAAATGGTTCTCCCCTCGGAAAGACACCTGCGGTGCCCTCCCCTCTCCCTCCCCAAGGTTTGATTAACGCGAGCGCAGAGCCTGAACCGGGGGGGCTCATTGCCTTGCACCCCCATCCCCGCCTGCCCAAAGCCCACCCAGACACAAACACCACAGCTCTGCAAACCCCCCCGGCCGCCCCGCCAGGCCTTTCCCTCCCAAACACGGCGATATCCAGCAAAGGCCTTTGCAGGCCAAGGAGCGGGTCCCTGTCATGGCGGGGCTGGGGTTTCCTCAGGTGTCAGCGTTTCCTCTCTCCAGGTGCGCTAGTTTTTCTTCTCGGGATGTATTAGTTTTTTTCCTCCCCGATACGCCAATTTTTCCTGTAGATATGCTACTCCCCCCACATGCAACCTTTTCCTCACAGCCTGGGCTACGCTTTCCTCACTGGATACTCATCATCCCATGGATGTCTGTCTGTCCTGTGGACGCGCTAGTGTTCCCTCATGGGATACACTTGTTTTTCACTTGGACATGTTATTTTTTTCCCCGCTGGGTACACCTTACCGCTGGATATATCAGCTTTCCCCTGGGTATGCTACTTTTTCCTCACTGGATATGCTATTTTTTTTCCTCAGTGGCTACATCTCTCTGACGGATACGCCGTTCCCTTCCCTGAACATGTTGGTTTTTCGACTTTGGACATGTAAGTTTGTTCTCTGGACAGGCGAGCTCCACCTCCCGCGCTTCTCCTGCGCGGCCGCGGAGCCCCC